TGCTCCAAATCCCCAGCATAAGCAAGCTGTTCCTCTCCCAGGTACTCCACCATGTACCTCAGACATGGTACAAGCCACCTGCACCTTCTCCTCCACCTCAAAAACATTCTCTGGGGAGCAATATGCATGCTTATACTTGAGGACAATGACCAAATCATTCTTTGGGAAGAAACTCTCCTACACCAGCACACTTCTTGCACTTGAAGTACATTTGACATTTATTTATTCTGCTGGCAAATCAATGGCTCTTCAATTCACGTCTGACAGTCTGATTCGATTTAACCAAACACATATGGGATTCTTCTAACCTAGATTATTCCAAGAGACCTTTGTTTGGAAACTGTTACAGTAGACAGGGAAAGCACAGCTAGAACAAAAGCAGGATAGACAGTAAGGAGCAGCTCAGTGTTTCCACCCTACTACAGCAGCTAAAAGAGCACACGTGATTGCAACCTCTTGGGGTCTCATTCTCCAAGCAGACAACATCACTACAGGATTTAGCACTGGATGCAACAAATCTGCATTTTAAACAGCTTCCTCAGCTGCCAAAATCAGACTTATTTAGTTCATGCTCGTCTCCTGCATTAAGCATCTAAGAAATTCTCAGCATACGTACAGGAAAAATGCTTTCAAAATCAAAGTACATTACACCTGCCTAAAAACCTCACATGCTTTGACTGTGTCTCATCTTTGGTTGGGCCATTAAGGCTCTGAGCATTAGAAATGAAGAACCTGTGACATTTTTTGGCAGAAGTGAACACTAGCTTGCTGCCCCAGGCAAACTCCAGTATAATCGTACAATCTCCAGATTATCCAGGTCTGCCTGACTACACTCCTTTTATGTTTCCCTTTACTATTTCAATCTTGCCCCTACACTACTGTGTGAGACAGAGTGATTCTGATGGCTGGGTACCAGAGACATGAGAGGTGATCCACAAATTTCATTCTGAAAGGTATCACACTCTTGGAAAAAGCCACTGTTATGCTTGAAAACATTCACATGCTCAGCCACGTGCAAAGCTGAGCAGAAATGGGCTCACAAACAAGGCAGCCTGCAAAGAAAAGCAATACACTGCAGCAATACTTTCTTCTCAGCAAGAAACCTCACCTTTAAACCCAGTTTCAAATATTTACATTCAACCCATAAAGTGTTTTTGAGATTACAGACATAGTGCACATGAAAAATGTTGACATAAGTGCAAGTCATCAACCAAAACATTACTCATATACAAAAATTAATGAATCGCATCTAAGAGGGCAAAAGCTCACAGAACTTCAATATATAAAAATCTGTTGTGAGTCCATGGTGATACAAGGTCAGAAACCATGCTTTGCCTGATTCTACTAGTATCTTCTTCAATGCTTCAGATAAAATGAAGTCACTGCAGGCAAACTTTGTAATTGACACTGATTGTTAAGAAGATACAGAACAAAGAGTGAGCTAACTCAGTGAGTGAGTTCCACTCAAATACAAGTTTTAACAGCAATGTAAGGTTTTGCAGCATTTGGAAGACTGTTACTGCACTGCTGTGTCTAGCCTGGAAGACCAAATTTTCAAAACATTATTGAAGAATCAGCTTTGCGGCTTTTTCAAATGTCACCTGAGATGTGGAAAAAATTAATCACACTGAGGAAGAGACATAGAAGCTCAATAGACTAATTTAAAAAAAAAAAAAAAAAGAGATAAGTCTTGAGATAATTATGATGGGTAAGTATTTTCACGGGGCAGAAAATGATACTTAAGAAAAGGCTCTTCAATTGGGCAAAGACCTAACAAGCACCTATGTGTGATGTACAGTATAGAAAAGAATTTATTAGTTAGGTCAAAGGACCAAACTGTCCTGCAGGCCTGTACACAGTGGTAGGACCATCACAGAAATTTGGAAGGACTACAGAATGAGATTCCCTTGATAAAGCAGAAAGGGTGGGAGGCAAGAGACCAAAAAGCGGACTAGAAGAGGCAGGGCAGGAACTTAGGGGCAAAGTGGAAAGAGGAAACTGAGTGACAGCAGAGCACTAGAGTCAACCATTTGCAGGAGGAGATGACAAGATACATTCGAATGGGAAGAAAATACAAAACTGGGTAACAGTTAAATACAGAGGAGTTCAGAGGAAACAGTTTGAGAGTGTGGGATTTCTTATCTGAAGTCCACACAGATTCAGACCACAAGGAGGAAAGGAAGAAAAAGTAAGAAAACACATCAGAATACTGTGTAGAAAAGGGAGAAAAAGGAAGCAGCAATACAAAGACTTTTTTTACTTTGCTTTTTAAGTGAAGAGTAGGAAAAACAAAGACTTCAAAAGGAAAGCAACGGGAAGGGCTGACTCGTGAGCTAGCACCTCTACTGTATAAATAGTTTGTGCAGCCTAAAAATTATGCCACATCTGCAAATCAGCTGGACTTCACCGGGAGAAGCCCAGACAGAAAAATGGTAGAGGACAAAAATGTCAAAGGAAATTACAAAGCCACTGGAGTCCAGAAAAGCCCTGAGGTGAAGTGACTTTATGTAAGCAGCACATGATCAGCACAATGAGTCACCTACCCAACAATGCACCAGCTCACACTATTCTGAGGAAATTACCATGGCTAAACTAGTGAGGACAAACTCCCACCCAAAACAGGCTCATAATTTTGTATTTAAAACTGAATTAAGGAGAAAGCGTAAACTGTACTAGAATCAGTTGAAACCATTCCAGCAACAGCATGATTCACATTGACATCAGAACTTAAAAACAGTTGAGACACTTCTACAGACACAGAAGGTAACCTTTAATTGACAAAATTCAAAAGCAAGCAAGATCTAATAATTAGAGATCCAGGGTGTGGTTACTTCAGCTAAGTTCATTTTATCTAATGTCTTGGTACCATACCTCCTACATCCTTTATATGGGTTTTATTATCTGTTTTAGCTTACCATGAGCCAATTCAGCTTATTAGTCCAACAGAAAACACAGAAGACAAGGAAACTGTTTCTGCCACATCAGCTGGTTGAACTGGCTCACCATGAGGCTCGATAAGTGCTACTGATACAAGGGAGAAAACAGCAATCTACAGACAGTAGCAGCTGAGACTTCTGCAGGAGCATCCCCATCGGCAGATACAAGCAGTTAAATTAGCTCAACAGATGGTATAACTGCATCCCAGAGATGGTGAAATCATACCAGGCAATAAATCTAAAATAAAATAAACCCTTCAAGGCAATGGATTTGGAACCTTTTACATCTCTCAGAATCTCTTAGCTGAAGTGAGAGATAAGCTTCTGAATATACGAAACTGTGCCCTGCTGTATGGTAGCTACTCGGGCTATAATATCACCAGGTATGTAACGCCCGTAGTACAATGACAGACCAGATGATTACCACAAGACACTCCTGTCTGATAAATCAAATGTGTTTTGAATACTGTAAAAGAAACCTCCCAAGTATGGCTTCCTCAGACAAAAGCTTTCTGTTCTTTCCAGAAAGCCTTCATCTACGTAATGTATGCTTGCAGAAAGAGCCCTACACACTATCTCACCTTACTAACTCTCACTCCATCATACACTTAGATGAAAAAAGATTTTAGCCTAGACTTTTCTAAAAGAACTTTTCCTTCTTGTGAAACAAAGAAGTGGCATTTGAGAGAATTACTAAACACCAAGCAGGTATCAATAACCCCACAACAATTCTGGGATGGGAGGTTCAAACACCACCAAGGGTTGGTGTTCTCCAGGCAGCTGATGTAACAGCTCACATTTTCAAAAAAGACACTTCCTCCTCTGAAATGCTGGGGTTTCAACCCCAAGCCCCAAATTACAGTTGACATATGGGTGATTTCCACAGCCCTTCCCAAAGGGCTGGTGAGTTGACCTTTAAGCTTCCCTCCAGAGTGTGGCCAGCCCTGGGGGGAGAGCCATTAGGGAAGAGCCCCAGGTGTCCCCCATTAAGTAAACAAAGATCAGGTGTCCCATCTAGGGGATAAAAGATGGGACCACTTGCAGGCAAGGGCAGTGTCTGTCTGTGAGGAGGATGTACTTTGCAGAGTTCCCTGTTGGGGAAGAACCTCCTGCCTCCCTGGAACTGGGTTCCAGTCAGGTCTGACCTTTCTAAACGTGGGCTGTGTAGAGATTCACTATGTAGCTTCCTTGGCCTTATGTATCTGGCTTGTTGACTCGGTTGTCTCCCATCCCTTCTATGGGAGACTGCATTTCACCATTTATTCCACCCATTGTTGGTTGTGCGGTGTCATTGTTGGGGTCAGTGGGATTGATATTGATTATGTATAATCTGACTTGTTTGTACCCCCAGTGCTCACCCATGTACTGACCCTTTTGTATCAAATACAATTTGGTCATTGGTTCATCTTTATGCTAGGCCTGATAATTGGCAAAACATCCTCTCATCTCCCTCTTCATTCCTTCCCCAGCTGTCCACTGCCACTTTCAGACAAGATCACTTTAATTCAGAAAAAAACCCCAAACTGTAGTGTTTTCTGCCAAGACAGCAAGTTGAAGAGGGTTACAGAGGTGTCCAGCAGTCACCAGATCTAGTGCAAGAGAAGGGCGAAGCTCTACTGATCAGCAACAGAGGTTACCCTTTTGAAAAGCAGTAAGCCTTCAGAAGTGTGCTGCCACAAATTCTTACCTTAACTGCAAACAAATCACATGCAATTCTTCTGTCATTAATACATAAGATGCAATAGCTATTTCTCCAAGAAGGTGATTAAAAAGACCAAAAAGTACATGCTATATTTTTCAAGTATCAAATTTTAACAATTAACTTAAAGTGAGGTTCATGAGCAGATTCTGGCATCATCACAGTATTCTTGAATTTCATGAAGACAAATTCACTCTTCTACATATAATGAAAATGTCTTTACCTGAGAGTGTCTGGTAGATCCTCTTGTGAAATACTTGCCACCAGCTTTTGGAATGTATGAAAGAGTTCCACTTTACAAATCTTGGATCTGATGGGGGAAAAAAAAAATCAGAAATTCTGATGGAAAAAAGGAATCAGAAATGCACTTCCTCCTACAGATCACAGTGGTATATCCCAGCTGAACATTTTTGATAAAAAAATACATGATGTTCTCAAAGAATGTAAAAAGATCTCCACAACTTCTCCTACCCTATCCAAGCTGCCCACCTGCCTTTTCCCTTCGTTTAAAATGTTACATTGACAAAGAGCTGCGTTGCCCCCATGTCCCAGCCAGCACTCTGTCAGTCTGCAGAGAGAACATTTTAATACCCCCACACTGTTATCTGTGTGAGACTGCACCGCCATCGGCTCACAACTACAGCAAGCTTGAGCTAGAAGACTAGTCCCAGAACTGATCAAACAAGCACAGAAGGACTCCAAAGGCTTGTTCAAACCGGCAAGCTTTGTTATTATTCAGAATAAAAGAACCAGCAGAAATATCTGGAACAATGCTGTCCTTTTCACAAGGTGACAAGGACACATTCATCCACAGCTGCAGGGCAGTTAAATACAAAGAGGCTCATCCAAATAAAATGAGTCAAAGTTTGAAATGTCTTTTGAAGATACCATATGCATTGCTGTCAGCTTTAAGTCCTTCTCTTCCCCAAAAGAGAAGGCAACCAAAACTGTTTATAAAGCAAGGTTTGTTTTTGCAAGCCCCAACTAGTTTCTCCATTTAGTTAAATTCTCTTTATACACTTGTCTTCACAATGACTGATTCACTTCTCCAACATGGACAAGCTGATTCTCCAGAAGCATTGAAAAAAATATCAAAAAAATCTTCCTATTTGCTAGTAAGTTCTTTAAGAACCCCTAAAATGTCATCTTTGCGTTAATCTGTCAGAGGTTCATATTGTAGATTTTGGTGTTTTAGTTAATTAAGAATTAACAAAAGCACATACCAGCCATCTACCTACAAATTCCTTTTAGTCAGTCAGCTTTACCTTCCTTGCTATTTAGTGTTATCCAGCACACTGAGGAGGGAAAAACTCCCAAACACCATCCCCCACCATCACCCTGAGATTCCTTGAGGGAAAAAAAAAAAAAAACAAGAGTAGAAATACAAGTCCTGTTTATTATTAAACACCCCATCTAATAAGGTTATAAAATCCTTATTTTCACGATAGAAGTTCCTTTTGTGACTACCACATAAGTGTAAACAGTTTACTTATTCCTTAACACTGTTTTTAGTCTTGATTTCCTAAGGAAGCAAGGCCTTTGCAATCACACAGTCTTGTAGGTCCTCTCTAATAACTTTTGAATGTTTTAGTGAATTTTGGGCACATGTTAAAAAGAGAGGACGACCTCTCAACATTAAGTCCCTAAAGTTTTGTGCAAACTGGCAGCTAGCAGGTGGCTCTATTAGAGTTGATACACAAATGCTACATAACAAATTTTAGTCTACTAAGAAAAAGGGGTCAGTTGGTTGGTTTCATCTTTCACATGTCTTCTGGAATATGTTACACAACACTAAACTTCAGTCAAGTCAGGCCTAACTTTGAGAGGCTCAGAATGTGCAACTCACAGGCATGTGAACGAATTCTTCACAAGAATTGTCTAAGCTCTACTTATAATTTTATTCACTACTGTAAGGATTATCTTTTTCCTCCCAGAAAGCCTGGGAACCATTGATAAATCAGTAGTATAAGCAGTCAACAATCAAAACGTGACCCCAACACTCAAGCTGAGCTTCCACAGACCAGTGATGTTTGGTCACCTTACCTAAACTGAGGAAAGTATAGAAAGACTGAGAAATTTGTCTGCAGATGTTTACAAGTAATTCCTCTCAACCACAAGAAAAAAACATAACTGTTTCTTTAAACATACAGCTCTGACAGGTTATGATGTTTCTTAAAAAGAGCACAGTGTCAAGACAACTGAAAAGGTGACATGTTTTGTGTTCAGAATCTGCCACAAGCATTTCATAACATCTTCAAACTTCAAGGCAGAAAGTCGTATTTCAAAGCAACACTTCTAGCAATTGTACATGCAGGTCAGCTGGCCTGACTCTTACAGAAAAAGAGATCTGTAAAAAGGGGACCTGCAATGTATACATTTCTTTCACAGTCACCAACCCAAAAGATACAAAGCAAAGATTCTAACTTCACCAATAAGTTGTCTTTTAATAAAAATTAATCTCAGTCCCCCACCACTGTTACCTACAATGCTCTCTTTAATCAACAGTGACAAAAGAAGAAATAGGATAAATCTGTTATCACTCAACTCAAATTCTGTCATTCAAACTCCCTTCTCTCCCTTACACAGTGACTCTTCCCCTGCTCCCTACCTTCCCCCTTTTTCCCTACTCCCTACATTTCCTTCTGCTCTGACAATGCACTACACCCCACATGAGCTGACAGAGGCATGTATGCTAACAAGTCAAGATTACAGGCATCCAGATAGCACAACACTGTCACACCTGCTCTGATGGCTCCCAATGCTCTTCGTTGTCGTTCCCTGCCGGAAGCCATCTGAGGTGACATCCAGAGGTTGCTCAGGGACCGCACTCCAACTGATAGCTGTAGAAGAAAGGATTATGAACAAGGGAGGGGCTCTCATCTCAAAAGCAGAACTTAACAGACCCTGTCATTCTATGTGTTCACACGATACCATGCTGCTTCCCAAAATAATTCAAACTAAAAAGAGGACCACGGTTCTCTAGGGCCAGGATTCCAGTACCTAAAAGAACAGGTAAATTTTGTTTAATTAATAAAAATATACACACACACGTACACACAGAGAGCTTTCATCTTAATCAGGTCCTTCAAGAATCCCTGGCTCTAAATATTTGGCCTCCAGCTTTGTAATTCTCCCCTTTTTAGGGAGATTCTACTTTATTTTATGCATCCTGTCCGGACAAAGCATGAAGAAATTTTCAACTCAGATGGCTTATTTTCATACCATACTGTGAAATAACTCCCCCAAGCTACTTGCACCAGTCACTATGTTTTTCTTATTAATTTATTGTGTGCTATTTTTTTATGCTGTATTGTATACTCTAAATTCTTCTATGTTTGATAACTGACATACATCAAACATCTGTAGTCTTTACTTGAAAAAGGTTATTAGCTAGTAGTCAACAAAAAAATTAATTTATTGGAAAAGACAGCGAGTGCCAACGACCTTATCCTTTACCCTCATTCTGGTAACCTTATTACCATCTTAGACTGTAAATGTCTTAATGCTGAAACTCTGCATACCACACCTCATCGATTTTATAAATAACTAGCAAAGCATCAGTAGCATCTTAACAGAAACAAAACCGATCGACATGCCCAATCTGTCCCTCCACAGCCTAACAACAGTATCTTTAACTTCTGAGACAATTTTTGTTCCCAAGTTCTCCCATTTATCTGTGTTTCAAACAGGCAAAACACTTGCACATGCATTAACTCTAAAGACAAACTTCACAGCTTCCCTCCTTCATGATACCATCTTGTCATTCAAGATGCTCAAAACCTGCACATGATAAAGCATAGTATAGAGACTGGTAATGTTAATCACACTTGTATAATGATTCAACTCTGTACTGCAATTGCTGTACTCTAAGCGTAAGCTGTATGTGCATTGTGATTTAGGTACAATGCTGTATCATTCAAATTAAAATCCTGTGTAATGTCTAACAACATTAAATACATACAACTGGTATTAAACATTAAACCCTCCATGTGTGGAGTATCTAAAACCACCTGGTCAGAGGGTATCAGATTCTGACAAGCAGATTAAAATTTACTTAAAACCAAAAATGTTTTCTGTTCTTTCATTTCTTCATGGTTATCACAAACTACAAAATATTAAATGGGTGACATTTTTCTTTTTAAAAATACCAGTGGAAATGTTCCTAACAAGCATATTTCAATACTCAGTGTAACAGCCCCGAATTCATTCTGATTTTCAGCCCTTCAAGAAGAAAAATCAACCTGGCATAATTCATATATGCAAAAAAGCATGATAAAGCATCATTCATCTTTATTTAACAGGATGACCTGACTAACCGTGCAGAAAGGCAGGCATACACAGGAATTTAGTCACAGTCAGCTTCAGATCTTTTCTGCTAAGTGAATTGGCACCATTTTTCAATAATGGATTTTGTTTCCTATCAGAATCAGAATCTTTTCCCTCCTTGCACCTGTAAATAACTCTAATTTAATGAATCTGAATTCCATTAAGGAACTGTTTGTTTCCATTCTATTTTATCATCAACTCTATCGTAACAGAATAACTTCCAGTTAAGCCAGAAAAATATACAACAGCAGAAGGTAGGCATGTCCAAGTTTAAAGAAACCACTTAACCATACCGATAGCGTTAGTTCCATTGTTTTTTCCCCTCAAATAAGACCATGCTGCTAAATCACAACGTGACTTGCATATTCATTCATCACCATGACAAAAAATGCAATGTTCAAAACCTCCATCAATTAAACCTTTACACTATACTACTCTGTATTCTTTCTACATTCACAGATTTCTGGAGCCATTACAAACACAACTCAGCATGGCAAGTCTTCTGTTCATTACCAAGGAAAATACAAAACTAACTGAAAACAGAAGTCTCTTGACATTTTTGTTTTCTTATTGCCCTCAGAACTCCTGCTTTTGTGGGTTATTTTCTGACTTGGTTTAGATTATAAGTTCTTAGTGGCATCAACCAAGTATTTATTCAGTCTGAAAACTCCCTACAGGGAACTAGAGGCTGAGCTGAATATTATTAAGAATTAAGTTCTGGCCTGAAATTAATTTCTTGCTGTAAGTCACGCTTTGCCTCTAGCACTGGCAATGAATGATGTTCCATTCCAGGAAACCACCAAACCCACCTAATTTCTATTCAGACTTCTGTACACAGTTACACAACTAGCCCGAGTTAACTCACCTGCACTACAAGGAACAAGTTTTGTTTTGCTGTTAGTTTGAACTTCCTGAATTGCCTGACGGCTATGTTCAAACTGAAGATCCGATTGCAGCAGCTTAACCTCCTGAGTGAGAAAACCAGCTGGTAAAAATGAGATGTGCTGACACCTAAAGTAAACACGGAAAAATGCAAGTGATTTTAAGTTTGGTCTTACCAAACAAGCCGATTTTGTACAATTTCCCTTCATAATCTAAAATATGTTACTTTCACATTAAAACTGAATTGAACAGCAGAGAGACAAGGAGCTTTAGAGACATTTTTCCCTTAAAAAAAGTGTCTGTTAATAAAACAAAGCCACATAGTTTATTAAGACCTTGTCCATCCTAGAAAACGATGATGAATTGATTTCAAAATGGTCTAGTTAAAAGCTAGTGTAATTGATGAAGTATGCAGGATAAAAGCTGCAGTATACTGCTGCAATCACAATGAAAAATGATTACAGTCAACCATATTACATTAACAGTCGTTTTATGAACCTAAAGTTTCATAATCAAAGACTAGAAAGATACAAAATATACTTACAGTTCCATGCATCCTCTCATCTTTGTTACCTTAAATTACTGTTACACACTAAATGGGATTAGGAACATATGAAGAAGAAAAAACAGCCTGTTTAAACCACCATAATATTTACATAGAGAAGGAATGAATTAAGACTCTTCCAAACACATCTCTGAAGAGGCCAAAGTCTGCTCTTCAGAAGTCCGTGATTGTGAGCTTGCTTTTTACTCTCCTCACTCTCTCAGAATCCTGAACTCCAACACCTCACGGTCTCTGCAACTAAGGCCTCCTTTGACCTTCGTATCCCAATAAGCCCCTCACTGCTGGTGAGTATGAGGTCCAGCAGAGCACCTCTCCTCGTTGGCTCCTCCATCTCCCATTTAAATCATTCTGAAAGATGGATCAGGTTCAAAAATTCCACTTCTTTTTATAATGCAGAGCAGAGGGATGAAAAACAAGTATGCCAAAGCCAGAGCTGCCAGCCACAAACCTCATCCTTTACAGAAGCTGAAGGCCCGGACTCTCATAGCAGTATTCTGAAGTGCATCCTTCAAAATGCATGAAGACTACAAACAGTGGGCTTGCACTGCACGTGCAAATCAGTGTGAAGTGGTGGAGTAGACCAATGAGAGATACTTGCTTGTATGCAAGTGTGAAGTGTCCCAGATGCATGAAGTTTTGCTCAAAAAGAAATAAACTGGTAACACATAAAAACAAGAGTTGACAGGAAATCATGACTTTCCCATCTGGTTGCCAAACATCACTCATCTTTCTAAACCTAAATATACTCCACTATGCCACAGAAATGTCTGTGTTAGGTCTAGAACTCAGTTTCCATGGGCTGCACAGCACACCTGAAGGCACATGATACAGTCAAAAGTTTAGAATTGCAGTTTTCAAACACCTCTAGTGAGAATGGAACGACAATACAATTTTAACGTTTTACACAGGATTAACTTGAATGCATATGCAATAACCCAAATATTAACCCCCTGAAAAATTTTAAGTTTGGATCCAAGCTTAGGAAGACAGCAAAAAGTACACTGCTTTTAACACAATTCCCTTTGAAGCAAGTTTAAAATACTGCATCTTTTACTTGCTGGAAAGTAAGTCTGAAAGCTGTGTCTAAAATCAGAGGTGGTTTTAGAAGAACTAAGCTGATTTAAGGCTGTTTTAAAAGATTTGTAAGAACAACCAGAAAGACATCCTTTCCACAGTGCAAAAGTCCACCTATGCATTCATCTGGATTCATTTTAATCAGATTGTCTTTAGGATGGATGGATTCAGTTTTTAGGGCTTTTTAATTTAATTTTAGGAATGGTCCTGCAAGAAATAAAAGCTACTAAAACAATTCCATAAAAGGAAACTTACAGATACTCAGAATGACTTTGTGGAGTATGGATAACTGAATAAACCAAATCTTTCCTTGATCCTGTTAGAGGAAATGAAATCAGGAAGAGGGCAAGAAGGAAGTTCAACTTCACTACACTAAAAAACCTTCACTATGCTGAGTTTGTGTCCTTCCCGCTGCTTTTTCTGTTGGAAGGCTTTTAGAAAAACTCAAGCGGGTAACAGCTCATCACTGCTCCATGAAGGGACAACCAAGGGGATCCTGAATCTAATGGAAATTCTTTTATGAATCTTCAAGTCTGATCCACCAGCAGTAGTCACCTTTTCTCCATACTACATAGGGCTACTTTTTGAAAATGTGAATTTGCAGAAATTCACATTTTCTGCAAATTACTTTGGTCCAAAGTCCTGGTATTTGCGTAACATGTTGTCTTCTGTAACCCGTTGTCTCTACAGACGCCATCTGATTTCCAAAGGGGAGCACTTACCTTTCAATAATTGCTCTCCGCATAGCTTCTCGGCTATATGGACACTTGCCCACTATAACTGCCGACAGATACACTGGATACTGCAGGAAATGCATCAGAAGAGCTCCCTGACACCCCAGCACATTCCAGCGAGCCAGTTTATCACTGCAGGACATAGAGCGTGTTCTGTCCCCACGTCCTGGCTTCACTCGTAGCAATCCCACACAGTGATACCCCAGCCCAGGTACTCGGGCATCACCCAGCTCTCCGGGGACGCATTTTGCTCCAGTTCTGTGAACATCTACCACCTTCGGACTCCCTAAGCCAGTCTCCTGATTCGCTGTATGCATCTCTACAGAACATTCACAGCTCTTTGAGTCTGTGTCATCTTCTCGTTTCACAGATGCTTGCTGAACAGCCAGCTCTTCAGTGATTACAGAAAAATAATTATCATTATCAGTCTTCATTCTCTTGCTTGTATGTTTACTTGCCATTGTCTCCGATTTCCTTTTATCTTCTGGAGCAAAACAATCATGGTGAGTTCTACACTCTGCTGATTGTCCAGCTGCATCATCTCCAGTCACTGGCTTAGAAAGCTGGTTCTCTGGTTCACTAATTGGAATAATAGAAGCATCTCCACCTGAAACAAGAGAAACAACATCAAAATTGGCCAAAAGAGCATCTCTCACAACTGGAACACATCACACCAGTAATATTATGACTACTATTAGCTTTCACAGATTTTCACTCAGGAAAATTTAACTACAAGAACATTGCCCTGTACAACGATGTATCGAACTTTGTTCAAATTTGAGCCAAATATTGTTTAATTTCAAGTTTTGCATTCTACTTAAATAATCAAAAAAGCAATTTAAAACAAAAATTATTCAGCAAAAGGTGTCAAAGGCATTTGACAGACTACAAGCAGTGCTGAAGACTCACAGGAAAACGAGTCTGATCTAACCAAACAATACAGCCCTCCAAAATAATTAAATAACAACCTATTAAAAATATAATGGAAATTTTAATCTGTATCACTAAAAGAAGCTCAAAACCAAAATTCTGAAGCTCAGTTCAAAGCAAACAAAGCCTAACAGGCATGTGAAAAAAAGGCAATCAGGAAATCATCCTTGCTATTAAATTGGAATATGAAGATTCTATTCCCATGTTACATTAACAAAGAAAACCATCATAGCATATTCCAGCAATGCCATCAAAATCATGACTAAGCAACTAATTCACTATGTGAAGTACTGATGAGGCATATTTTGAGTGCTTAGACTTCTCCAAACTGGTAACATACTAGCAGTTGAAGAATACAACTAAGAGCGTGGCAACATTGCCATGTCCAATAACCTGGTAGACCAAGAGGTCATATTCCTACATTTTGCCAGTAGATCCTCATCTTTGTGGTGTTGGCTTTATAAAAACTCACAAAGAGTGTTTTCTATGACAAAACAAATGATTGCATTCTACTCTACAAGAAGTTTTCAGTTAGGGGTGGTAGTGTTTTTTGTGGGTGGGGTGGTTTTGGTTGTTTTTGGGGAGTTTGAGAGTTGGTTTGGGGAGAGAAGGGTCCTGTTTTGGTTTAGGTTTTTGTTCAGTTTGTGTTGGGGTTTTTTTTGTATGGTTTTTGTTGAGGTTTTTTTTTTAGAAACTCCGGTAAATGTCAATTTTTTATTGAAATTCAAATCCAAGGAGGTATATTTAAACCAAAGCAACCAGGAGATATGACGGGACCTCTGACAAGTATGTTAGTTTCTGGAAAAGAAAAATAGTAGCCATTGTTTAAAGTGAAGCATTCCAGTATGTAATGAGCAGTATAATCGATTTACTGACTTCTCATGAATCGCATCCAGTGAGATAAAACGCCAAATCTATCTGTGGAAGACCAGACAAGTACGTCTTGGGGCACATACTGATACTGTGAGTTACTGCCTCACTCTCACTCCAGACCAAAGAGACACCAAATTAAAACAAAGGGCAGAAAAGATTCTACAAGTGGAAGCCATGAAATTGATTTACTCCAGCATACTCACATGGGGTATGACTGGAGAAGAAAACAAATGAGATATTTGGTCTGAGTTTCCATTTCCCAGTTTCAGTTCCTGGAATAAAGATACTGCATTGCTGATGGACAGCTGCCAGCCACATCTGATGGAGAAGATACCTGTTAGGCAGAAAGTTTTCAAGAAACATTTACTTCCATTTTTGAAGCACAGGAAAACAAAAAACTAGATGCCCACTAGGGCCTGGCCTGTCCTAATGAAGTCTATGAGGAGCTAATCAGTTATGCTTCTGCAGACAGATGGGATCCAACCAACTCCATAAACACAAATGCATCACTGGAACCTTAGAAACTGACCTCAAAGGCTTGGATTCAGCGGAGCTATCTCCTCCAGTTGTGTATCTAAGGTCCCCTCCTCCCACTCTGTATTTTCGCCAGCACTGCAACTCACCCAATTCTGTGAGAGCCAGTCTAGTGGCATCAAACTGCAAGAACTATAACCCTTAACATGGCATTATTATTCTCCTGGCTCCTTGAACCAGCCTATCCCCCATATGAACAAGAGGACTGGTGTGTGGGAAACAGCAAAAAGGCTACCCGTGACAGCTAGTCATCAGACATACACTGACATCACCTGAAATCAGACCCTACTTCTTCATACCAAGGTTCTACAAGAATGAGGCAGAAACAAGCTTTGGTGAAAGGACCTTACTACCACCTAGAGGTGTAAACATTAAGTTAAACTGCTAACAAAGGGAAAAAAAATGTTGCCTACATAGAAATAATACTGTCTCTCATTACGTTCTCATCCCTGAAGGTGAAATATCTGGCTATTTCAGCTACAGGTGACACCCATTTGTAACACAACCAACCTCAAGTGGCACTGAGTTAACAGCAGTGAACTTCATGCCTCACCTCTGGAAGCTTCTCTTGGCCACAATTTCAGCATGACTGTCATTCAGAACATCTCCTAAAGCAGCAACCAAATGAGAAAGCAAACAGAATTTGACAGACAATGGTTCTTCAGATTTGTTAGCATTTGAAGGTTTAACATTGGTATTAGGATACTGCAAGATATTTAAGCTTCCAGTCACTACGAAAGGAGGTCAGTAGCCTACACAAATGAGAGATAAAAGTCTCCACAGCAAGTCAGACTTGTTTAAATACCAAATTTTAACTCATGCTATCTGAAATCCTTTGAGTTGAATACTGGCTTCCTTCAAAACCTTACTGATGTTTGTTCTTAATAGTAAAGCTTGGTATTCTCAGATTAAGCATAATACCCAGAAAATTTCAAGTGTTTGTTAAGCTTTTGGTTGAAGTTTCTTGTTGCACTATGTACCACAAATTATTTTTCTTGTAAGTAATTGATATTTCTTAGGTTTACACACTTCATCTTCAAACTTCTTGCAGTGTCTGCCTATTGCAGTATCTAAAGGAACAGGATCTGCAGATTAGTTTTTATTTCAGTAAAAAAAGGTCCTCTTTAACAGTTCTAAAAGTTTGAAGTTTAAAAGACAACGATTAACATGACCTACCAACCAAGTTAATTTAAAAATAAATTAATGTTATCGTAAGAGGAAAATATTTTCTAAACTTAACATCACTGAAGACAAACAACAGAGAGAGGAACTAGCTTTACTTTTTTCCAGTCAAATTTCTACTTTGACTCTTTAATACCTAGATTGTAACTAGTATGGCAGGTTAATCACAATTTTCCTAAATCAATCAGAAAAACGTCAGTACTAATACTCTTCTAAGATTGCTAAGTCACAAGAAACATCCACAAAAACCTAAGACGCAAAATTTAGCTGCTTCTCTTTTGCTCCACTAATTTTATTCTTCAACAAAGGATGTTATACAGAACATGAAACAGCCTAAAACTGATGAAAAACTGTTTCTCCTATTTTGCTCTACTCTTCCTCTGGTCTAAAGAAGATGGAAAGCCCTGTACCTACATGTTGACAAACATTTTTCCTCCTTAATCACTTTTCAGCATTCAGATACATTCTGAATAAAAAAAAAAAATGTGACGCGCAGAGCGAGGAAAGTCCTGCAATATATGGTAAGAAATGGTGGTGGCTGTGAAAAGTCACGTGTCTATCCCATACATTTATTGTACAAACACTTAAAACTACCTAGTTGCAAAATATAAAGGGAGAAAGTCTGTTAGTATTTTTTTTCTGCTGACACCCCTACCCTAACACAGGGGTGGTATCTTTTGCATCAGACTACAATAAAACTAGACTGTAGCAGGTGACTGAAGCACAATTATTTTGCTTGGTTTGTTTTGCTTTTAGTTATGAAGTCCTTGGGTATGCAGGCTCAGGGCTAAAACTACAGATTTTCACATATAAAAAGTTTATTGGCCTATAAGGAGCAAGTGCAGCAAACTTTCAGAGCAGCCATTCTAGCTGCCTAAACCCTTCTCTTCTTGGCAAGGTGAGGTCTGCTTTACACTTCTAGCTTCAATCCAGAAGTTGGAGCTCAATGCCCTGGGCATTAATTCATCAGCAAGAAAGAAGGTAGCTTAGTCTGTTCATGGATTTTACACCACTTACCAGTTTTTCTCATTTTGTTTTGGCCAATACATTTTGTTCCAGTTCCCATAGCAACAACTTCCTTTGTCACTGAAAAAAGAAACATTAACTGAACCAACAATCGACAGAAGCACTGCTCTCATACAGTCATTCTGGTAAGACAATACACAGAACTTTGTGTAGAAGGGAAGGTATAAGGAGGCAAGCCATGCGATGTTCCAGACAGGAGGCAGTATCAGCTAGAGAAATGAACACAGCAGGCAGAAGCACTAGTGCTAGGAAAAGTCTGTGATCCCACAGCAGGAGTGCTAATACAGGTTTGATATTCTATGCAACACAGTGGAATCTGGCACAGGATTCCTCATCACATAGGAAAGAAGCATGGGACACAATCTGCATGACAACACAGAAATGCCAGTAAGGGAAAAGAAGATGATGGTGAACTAACACAAATGCACAATACAACACCACAGTCTGTTAAAGGAGAGCAAACACAGTCTGTAAAAGGAGAGCAAACGGAGACCCTTCCAGTATTCTTTCAAATAGTAGCCAAACCCACTTTTGCAAGGGTTTAGATTAGGAATTCAGGTCCTGCATAGATTTTTGCTACGTATTGAACAGCCAAATGAAGCTTTCATCTTCTTGGTTACATATGAACAGCATTTCACTATAACCATCTCTTTCCAAACAGAACCTGTAAAAACTTTTACAATCACAAAGAGTAAAGGATTTGGGTGGAGACATAAGAGATGGCAAAGGGTGTATTTTTTTTCAAATGTATATTGGGAAAAAAAAAAGTAATCAACGACTGCCACCTCTTCTCCCTCTCCTCCCACCCCAACCCCAACTCATTCTTACCCTGCAGATTCCCCGGACTATCAAGAACCTCTCTTTGAGTTGCAGACTCCACTTTGACAACAGCTGCCAGTGAAGTCCATTCCCTGTTTGGATCTGGTTTCCCCTGCTTAGGGAGTCTGGTCCTATAATGCAGGTAACAAAGCTCAGCAATTTCATCAGCTGACCACATGGCTCCTGATGCAAGCACAGGTTCTAAAGAGAATTGGATTCCACTGATCACAACACTGATTTACACCCCCATCTCTTCAAACCCTACCACCGCCTTCTGCACGGCACCTTCCTGCAGTGGGTTCCAACATCCAAGGCCTGGCTGCACCACCCCTTTCAGGATTATTTATATGAAACAATCGTACGAGATAAAAAACTTTTTCCCCAAACCGCCAGCAATAAAAATCAACAACAGAACGCTTATGGTGCTGCGGCGGGTGAGACTGCGGGGTTCCCAAGGATCCCACTGTGCAGTTCCGCGTCCCACCATGCCCGCCCGTTCCCCACACCACGCCCGAGGCAGCGCCGCACCCTGCCGAGGCCTCCAGGCCTCCACCCCGCCC